AGCCAGATTTATTGGGACTAACAAGGAAGTTGTCCAAAAGAGATTCATTAAGTGGGAGGCCTAATCACAGCCAATAAGACAAGTACCCAGGCCATCAACAGACTAATATACATCTTTTGGCAGTCACCACTCCCCACAGTCTTGCCTGTCTGTTGCTGCCTACTGTATGGCTTGCACCGCAGAAATGATGTGATAATGCTAAATGCAATTTGGCACTTCCCACATGAGAGGATGAATGTGTTTCCCCACCCTGGAAATGCAGCCTCCAGCTGTCTTGCCCTCTGCCAGAGGTTTCTTAATACCCTGGAATTAGCTGACTAGGAGATGAAGCAAACTAAAGGAGCATTTGCTATCTGCTCAGGACGCCTAAGCTTTCCATCAAATAAACCCTGGTCTGGTTCTAAGCCCTTTGGGAACGGTTGCCCACAGCTAACATTTGCTCCCCCAAATAACCCCGAGGTGACCTTCCCACTGCAAAGCTGTAGCCAAGAAAAACCCTGTTTAACATAACAGTGCACATCTTAGAACATCAACTTGAACCATCCTGACCTCTGAGCTGCCGGGGTCTGTACAAATTAATTTTAACAATAGACAGTGTTGAAAGGGAGGAATGTTTCAAAGGAATAAAAAAAAAATCTCCCTCATCCATCTCTTCTCATTTAAAAAATAGTCAGGAGGCCTACTTTAGAAAAACTTAAAGTGCTCCTTGTTGCAACACAATTGGCTATATAGGGGGAGGGGGAACATGCTGATTTCTTGCATCGTAGCCTACCAAAATGAAATTTCCCACAAATGGGTGCCACGTTCGAAAGATTTCTACTGGGGAATTGGCTTTATTTCCTCAGATGATGCAAAGATACAAGTGGGGTTTGCCTTTCTTTTTTACAGCTTCTGCTAGTACTTCTATTAAGTGAATGAGCAAGTCCCTCCTTTCTACCCCGTTCACTCATATGTACCTTGCCTCATGTTTTCCGTGGCTTCCATGCAAACAACTAGGCTAGGTAAGAAAAAAAACCCTCTCCATATGGTATCTAGAGCTTAAATCAGTTAATGATTGAAAGAGCCCATCAGGAAGGGGATACATAGGAAAATGAGATCTTCAGACTCTGGGGCAAACAAGTTTATTAGTCCTGCTGAAGAGGAACCTGGGTTGGGCCAAGTCATGGGTATTTATTTTCCCCAGGTACGGACTTATTCCTCTGGTCCTCCTTAGCAGGAGCTGGGACTCCAGGTGTCTCATTGTATGTAAATAGGGAGGGTTATTATGGCAGGGATGGTGAGGTTGGAGACAATGGGCAAACACTAATGAAAATTTTAACATTCGTGTAGAATTGCTATAACAGCTTGAAATCTGTATGATGAGCATAGAGGAGATGGAAGTTTCCTCATGAAGCATCCAGTGGACTTCAGTAATTACACCCATGAAACCGCCTGTTTTTATTTAGCCAGTGTAATTCATTATGATCATAATTTCTGGTTTCTTACACAAATGGTTTTCTCTTCGCAATTGAGATGCATTGCCTCCAGCAGTACAGGGCATGAGCCCAAGCACATCCATTCCCAAGTGGTACTGAGGGAGATTCCCCAGGCAGCAGCCAAGGGATCAGGGGGTGGGCTGCCCTCTCTTCCCAGACATTCCCAAAGCTGGGACCGTGAGGTGTGAGAAGCTGCAGGGGCTGAGGGGGAGAGGACTGGATGCTTAGTGCAGAGGGAGATAAGATAAACTGACGGTTCTCTGGGCTTAATACAGCTTTCCATACACAGCGTTCAAGATCCTGGGAGGTTGTAGGGGTCCTCTTGCAACTAATACTGTAATGACCTTGAATTTGCTTCCAGCTCAGCTGTACTGCTGGAGGACAAGGCTTTTCTTGTGAGCAAAAAACATTAAAGCAGCACAGAGATTTGCCTGCATAGCTCCGGTCTTCAAGAGATTTGAGTATCCTTTTTGAGGCCCCACTTGCAACAAGGGATTGTAGATAAGCTTCTGCAGTAGTTAATGTGTAAAGTTTTCAGATTTATTCTCAATGGTGCCTCTCCTTTTGCTTGCAGTCTTGACAAATACACTGCTGTATGCTGGTTTTTTTTGTCTTCTTTTACGCAGATAATTTTTTGCTGCATGAAAAAGGTAATTATGTGCATGCTCGTATGTGCACACCATCCAAGATGAATGCGGTTTTATGATCTTGTAGGTGTTAAGGGGGAAAAAATCATCCGCTTTAATTTAAAAATAATTAATAATGCCACTGATTCCTTTTTCAGATTGTAACCTGAATAGAAACTTTCATAGTCTCACACCTTTCTATTTCTTACCAACTTCAGGTTATAAGATACAATAAAACTTGGATAAAATTTGAGGAAAGTGTGAGATTTTGTCATGGATTATCTTTAAATTGCGTCTGGACTTGTTATGTGACTCAGTGGAAAAGTATTAGTGACCTCTTCCTCTCTAGGTTTGACTTCCTGTGAGGTTGTCTGTTAAAAAGATTCTGCAAGATGCTTCCTTTTCGGATCCTGTAAGAAATGTATATTCAGCAGGAGAAACATCTGACTGAGCAAAGACTAACTTACACAGTGGTTTGGAAGCCACGTGTTGAAAAGTGCTGGGGAAACACAGCAGGGAAAATGATAAAAAGGGATAAAAGCAGTTCAGATGGGCAAAGAATGCTGATTTAAAAATGCAAACCATCTGAACACTGATGAGTGGGCAGGTTGCAATAACTTTAGGGCAGACCAAAGTTGCACAACACTCATATACTGTAAGTTGACTCCCACAGGACACTGCCTGCAGTGATTTGAAACTGGAAGTAGGGGCGGAACGTTGAGGTGCTGCAGAGAGTAATCTTGCAACAGCAGAGTGCAAGTAGAAAATGGGTCAGTTGGAGTAATAGCTTTTTTCCATGTGGTTTTTGTGAGCCAGGCCAAACCTGTGTGAAGCACAGGGTTGTCACATTCATGATTATTTATTTATGTTTCTTTGGTGTATTAGAAATGAATGTGTTTGCAATGAGGTTTGGTCACCCAAGTGTGACATTCTGAATCCTTTCTCTGGACCGTCTTGTGTGCCAAAGTTAGCTTGCTTTTTTTTTAATGTTCCAGGCTTTGGCTACATCGTTCAAGTAGACTGTGTTTGGAAATGTAATGCTGTGGCCTCGCATTCCCAGGAGGTCAGCAGAAATGCTAGCCTGAAGTATCCCTGCTAATACCACCTACGGTTTGTTCTCGCCTCTGCATTGTGGTAGGCAATCTCCTCATTTGTGCTGAAACAACTGGATGTGTCACCGCATTGAAGTGGATAAAGGGCCTTCCCCAGTTTAAAAAGCACAATAATGCCTTGAACATACATTTCTCCACCCTAACCCCCTGCTGTATCAGTTTACTGGTTCAGTTTGTAATATTCCAGCTGCATACGCAAGGGTGTTGGCAGTGGTGGAGGCACAGTGCAGAAATGAGGGACAGAGAATGTCTTATGCCAGTGTTATTGCTAGTTTCCTTTCAATGTGAAAACACAGGCTTAGTTACGGCTTCAGCCTAAACTTTGCACTCAGCTTTGATGTACTTTAGCAGCTTGCAGAAAGGTGATAGCATATGGTGACTGTGGTTTTGGTCCCTCCTGATGGTCAGGTATAATCGTGCAGTGTGTTATCAGAGGCATGTAAACTGTTTGGCTGCGGTGTGATGAGATAGTGGCTCCTGAGGCACAGGCTGTTAATGAAATCCAAGCCTGTCCCTGCTCCCAGTCCCTTTTTCTGATCACAGCTGGCTGGTATAAGAGGCTCTTAAGTCTCGCCATTAAGCGGTCATTGAAACAAATGTGGTTAGAAAGAAAACTCCAGAAGGGGCTTGTTCTTAATCCAGATCAGGTAAGTCATCTGTCACTAGGTAGTACAGTGAGTTAGACTACAGTGTAGCAACAGAGACTGATGATGACTGTAGTGCAAGGAGGTGAATGATAAAGGCTTATGACAGGGGAAGGCCAGACTTTGTTCAGCCAGTTTTGCCCGCACCAGTTGGTTAAACAAATGAGTTCATGTAAGGACATAGTGTACACGATGGTTCAGCAATGTGCTAGTGTATTTTCCCTGGAACACAGCCACCTCAGTCAGACTTTATTTCATTTTGGACCATGCCTCCCTCTACTAATGCACAAGATGTCCCTAGGTATAAATGGAATACAGATTTCCAAGTTTCGGTCTGACATTCCCTACCCATGCCCTTTTTGTTAATATCATCACCCTAAAGACATGTATTTAGTTAGTTGTGCCATGCATCTCCCTTTTTTGAAAATGCAAACCCATACACCTTGATGTGCAGACCTGCTTCATGCCACCTCAGTGTGCATGCAGCATCCATAGCAGAGGTACAGCAGTCACTCTTATTTGGGTGTGATGCTGGGCAACAGATAATGTAGTCAGCTGACACTGTGCCAGTTCATGCCAGCTGAGGAGAAGGTTCCCCTCTGACATGCTGGTGTGATGCTCTTCCCTACACCCCTTGATGATATCCCCAGAGGACCACCCTTTCAAGGCTTTGGGCAGAGGAGGGCTGTCCGTCTGAGAGTTTGTGCTCCTTGCCTGGTCCTTTTGGGAACAGGCTTGCTCACAGTCCCACTGCATGAGGACTTCAGTGGCAAAAGAGAAGACAGCTAATATTGCCCCCACTGTGCATGCAGCCAGGCATGGGTTTTGCTTTTGCTCTCTTAATTCTACACTTGATATAGCAGAAGCAGACAAGCACATGATCTCCCCGAAGGCAGGATCCAGTGTTACTGTAGAAACTGGCCACCAGCTTCTTTTGTAGCTAGCAGCTGTCACGGTGTGGTTGTAGCCAAAGCGTGTCACTTGTACAGTGTCTGTAGGCTCTGGAGTTTGTGTCTGCTTCTGAATCCTCCGTGCTACAGTTTGGATATTAATTCTGCACCTTCTATCACAGCATGCTGAGCTATTTCTGAATTGTATCTATTTTTAGAACCATTTTTGATTAATATTTGATGTTTTTTTCAGGTTTCATTTTCTGTCACCAATACTTCAAGGCACAGAGGAGCTGGTAAAGGCATTGCCATGAAACCTAACTTGAAGCAATGGAAACAACTCATGCTGTTTGGGATCTTTGCATGGGGTCTGCTTTTTCTGGTGATATTCATCTATTTTACAGATAGCAACACTGCTGAACCAGTTCCAAGCTCCTTTGCTTACATTGAAACTAAGAGGCTTCTGCCTCTTCAGGGCAAGCAGAGAGTCATCATGGGAGCCATTCACGATCCATCGTTTTCAGAAACCATTGATGGGAATGAGGTACTTCTTAATGAAGATCTCTTAGGTACATTTAAATCTGGGACTGGAAGTATTAAGAAATGGACTGATTTGGAAGATACCTTTAGAAGTGAAGATGAGTTTTTTCCATCCCAGATAGGAAGAAAATCAAAAAGTGCTTTCTACCAAGTGAATGACGATTATTTATTTGCTGCTGGTCAGCCTCGGTCACACAACCACCTTCAAGAGATAGCAAAATTCATCTCAGCAGATGAGGATAATCCAAAAGTAAATATTTTACAGAACAACTGGAGCCATCAGAGAAGAATGAGGAGAAGGAGCACAAAGCACAGGAGAAGCCAGATGCTTGATGAATCTGATGACTGGGATGGGCTATATTCCACAATGTCGAAATCCTTTCTTTACAAGCTTTGGAAAGGGGATGTCTCTTCCAAGATGCTAAACCCTCGACTGCAGAAGGCGATGAAAGATTATTTGAGCACCAATAAGCATGGGGTGCGGTTCAAGGGGAAACGAAACTCCAAGTTGACAGGAGACCAGCTATTCTGTGAGCTAAAAGAAAGGGTGAATGTGAAAACAATAGATGGCAAGGAGGCTCCCTTCTCCACTCTTGGATGGGAAAAGCACGTTCCCCAAATTCCACTGGGCAAATTGTATACGCATGGCTTTGGGAGCTGTGCCGTAGTTATGTCTGCTGGTGCCATACTGAACTCCTCTCTGGGGGATGAAATAGGTGGGTGAAATGCATCTGTTCATGTGCATATATATGTACATGCATGTTGTTCATGTTTGCCTTTCAAAAGGTTCATTCTTCTCAAGCATAGGTCTGTAAAGTCTGGTTGTTCTCCCTCAGCATTACATGAATGTGACCTCATGGAATTCAGTGAAGCTGTTTCCTTTCAGGACAATACAATTGAAAGGAAAATCAAGCCTGGAATCATAATTTGATTTAAAGAAAGCAGTTATGTTTCCTTATCGTATTACAGCTTGTTGTATAAAGGAGGCACTGGCTTCATCAGTTCTGCCATATTTGACATTTTGCTGCAACATGCGTTTATTTCTTCAGCAGATTAGAGCCATGTTCAGGTTTTATTCTGCAAAGCTGTTTCATACCTGTGTATTTTCTTGTGGCTCATAGAAAAACTGCCTCTTGTATTGCTGTCCCAGACTGAACTTTGTCTCCATGCCAAGAAGCAGTAGAGCCTCCTCTTCATCTCCTTCATGAGATGAAGAACTCATGCAAGATGAAGGACTCTTAAGAGTTCAGAGGTGTACAGAATTCAGACTCCTGAGTAACTTCCTGAGCTGAGGTCCCCTGACCTCTTTTCCAAGATTGAATTTAAATGTGTTCAATATCTCTGCCCATTGTTTTTCTATTGCTGCAGTGAGTCAGTGAGGTTACAGGTGTGCTGAGATGTCAACACCTGACGGAATTCCCCACTTCAAGATGGGATTTTTGTGGTAGCTGTTCAGAAAAGGAATGTAGAAGCATAAAATTATTTCCAGTTTGGGTTTTTTCTTTTTGAAAATGAGTGCTACTACTCATGTTATCGTCTCAGTAGTTCTTCATTTTGGCAGTACACGTGCAGTATGCTAAGAGTGCTGAAAGAAGGATGAAATGTATGTCTCAAACTTGCTTCTGGAACAAGAGTTATCTCCTTCAAGCTCTCTTTAAAAGCCTTTTGATGTTCACTTATTAATCCTCCCATCTTCCTGGACTTCACAGCCCAGTACTTGCTTCATTGCACTGTTACCACCTCTTTGACATGGATGGGTTTTCTTTAAATCCCTGGGATATATTAGAACTTCTGTCTTTATCAAACTACAAGTATAGGCTTCCAGCACAGCATGGGTGCCTGGCTGGCCTGCAACTAAAATCACACCAGAGCAATCCCCAAATTCACATGAAGCCCCACTGATTTAGAAATCTTTGGGGTGAAAAAGCTTAATAGTTCCTCCGTTCTCCAGTGTGTTATCCTTGACTGAAACAAAATCTCTCAGCCTTCCTCAGTACATCCAGTTTACACCAGTATGGATTAGTGCTGTACTGGGGAATCCATAGCACATTATATATCACAGCATGCATCATGACATGTTTGCACACTCAGGTGCAGCCTACGTGTGGACTTTGGTGCTTGACGTGATACCTGGGGCCCATATATATGCTCCTGTGTGTACCCATTTTCTTGTGAGCAGTCTGGGCACAGAAAACTTACGCCATTCTCTGAGGAGGAGCTTTTGATTTAACTGGGAAATTGTCATCTGATGCACCTAAGGGGAGGAGATACTGATTGATAGGGCTTACGCAGACATTTCAGATCTCCTCCTACCTGTTGCAGATTGAAGTGTGTAGGGCAGCACGAGTCAGAGGAAGTTTTCTTCTAAGTGTCTTCCAGGCCATGGGCAGGTACTTCCGATTGAGCAGACTATTTGGCTCAGAACTGTGGCAGCACAACTGGATGCTTACAGCCATCCCAGAGGGGCCTGGTGCCAACCTATGGGTCTTAGTGATCGGTGTGGGAAGTGCTAATATACAGGAGATGTCATGCCAGTGTTTTCCACTGAAAATGAAAAATGGAAGCTCCAGCATCTGTTCATATCATGATTCCCATGGGGAAGATATTAGGGTTCCCTGCAGAGTGTGTGTTACCGCTGAGCTCTTGGCTGTGCCTTTCCACCTCCCCTCTACTCCCTGAAAAAGTGAGAAGAGTGACCAGTAAGAGAAAGCCCAGACTGCACAAGATGCTCTTTTTCCCTGTGAATGCATAGCAGTAGAAGACTGTCCTTTCCCAGAGCTGGCATCAGGGCTACCAACTTCCTGGTTGGAAGTCCAAGCAGACCTGACAGTTAGGAGGCACCATGGGCTGCTCTGTGGAGTGATGCTGCTCTGTGAAGTCAGCCCAGGCACTCGTGCTGAGCACCTCTGTGTCCTCAGTCAGCATCATTAGGGAGTGAGGAAAGGCACCCCATGGACAAGTTCTGATTCTGGGGCCATGGGCTGTACAGTCTTGGTTTCTGTGGGCAAAAGGCTTTTACTGTTTATCCTCCCAAAAGAAAAATAAGGTGCAAGAAAGCAGCAGTGCAGAGCCTTTCTCTTCATAGGCCTTTAGCTCCCTCTTCTGTGTTCATATTAGAAACGCAGGCATAAATGTCATTTTTGTTCTGCTTCTTGCCCTCATCCCTCCCACCCCCTGATTGTTTTTTTGGATAAAACTAGGCATAGAGATACTATGCAAGTACAGCAAACATTCCCACTGTGATCATGCTATTTACTGTGAGACCCAGTTATTTTGACATCACTGGGATGTAACAGGGATCTATGATCAAACCGCATACTTTTTTATATCTTTAAAATGGTTATCTCCAATAGGATTAAAATTAGTTGACTTAAACCCAGCTATTATCAGTGTTTGTTAAGCTGTGTCCTGATCGTATATTTTATGGTGAAGGAAAGGTTTTTGGTCTTGGTATGAAGAACTAGCATGGGGAATGTTGGACATGCAGCACACTGTCTCTCAGTTAAGTTGTGAACCCTACCATTCCCATTTCCCAACCCAATTTCCAGTTCTCAGTCAGTGGATTATAAAAAAGTTATCAAATTCAAGTACAGATGTCTGTTCTTAAATTCAGAAGCAGTTTTTAATTACAAACAATCTTTGTTTCTCTTCTTCTTCTCAAAAAAGGTGGAGTACCTGAAACTTTTATTGACTTCATGTCATCTAGCCCCTACACATTCAAGATACTTATATTTAGTCAGATGAAGGCAAGGTATTGAGGCTAGGGTTGTCCCTGCATAGAGACATAGAAAAAAACTTCACTCCTTAGTTTCTGAGGAGTCAGGGTCAGTAGACATTTGGCAAAAATCTCACTTTTTGACACAAAATGTTCAAGCAAGCAAGTACAGCTGAAACTGGACTGACAGTTTCATGTTACATGGTGTTTTCTTGTCTGGAGTACAAGTGTGGAGTAAGGATGTGAAAGGATGGAAGATCCCAGTTTGATAGAATGGAATAGGCCCAAACTCCATTGAGGTGTGTTGGTTATCTTTGGAAACTTCTGCCTGCTCCATTTTTGAGCTACAGACAACACATTTTAAGTTACTACAGAGAAACAGCTGTATAAACTACCTGTGAGTTAAGGCGTTACATGGCTTCAATCGTATTTTCTGCTTTCATTGATGGAAGGGATAAAAGTAGGCTAAATAGGGGTCTCTTGACAGGGAAGTGTGGTTTGGGGCAACGGATATAATTTCTTATTCTCCCTCTCCCTCACACCTTTTGGGTTTTGAGATTTCCTTAAAAGAAGCCCTGGGAGGCTGATTATTTTTATCCAGTTGAGGCTTGCACGTAGCGTCTACCCTTGACCCCTGCTTAACCTAGAGCTGCTTTCTATTCTTCATGACTCCAAGGTCAACAGCTCATGAGGAAATTTTGACACGTGAGCTTTGTTAGATCTTTGCTACCAACGGATCCTTAGGTTCTGCATGTGAGCAGGTTTGTGGGCTCACTTCCCTACAGAGACTCTTTAACTTATACTGATCTTGAGAATAAGTACATGGCATGATTAATAGGTTTGGGGTAGTCTGAGATTTTCAAGTATTACAAAATACTGTGAAACACAAGCTTATAGTTAAGTGTTGGTATTCATTCAAATGTGTAATTAGATATCCTGGCAATTAACATGCTTTTGCATGGGATAATTTGTTACAAATTTTGCAGTAGAAATAGTGAGAAATTGTGTGTACTGGGTGTACTAACAACCTTCCCACACCAAGTTTATCCAATTAAGAGAAATACTGGTGAATTGCAAGCTAAATTAATAGATGATTCTTAACTTTTTTTTTGCTGGATCTTAAGAATGTTAGTAATGTGTGGCAGATGCAGGATTTTCCTTTGCACATAGTAGAATGTTTATCATCCTTAGAACATCAAGATTAGGAGAAATGTGTAAGTTTTATATTAGTTTAGGTAATTTGGTTTATTTTTATACACTTACTTACATTTTTTATACTGCTCTGTATTGCCAAGGAAGAAAATTACCCCCTCATTTATGCTCCTAGATTCTCATGATGCTGTTCTAAGATTTAATTCTGCTCCAACACGTGGCTATGAAAAAGATGTTGGAAATAAAACAACCATGCGAATCATTAACTCTCAGGTAAGATCTTCCTTTTGTGAATTCAAGTCAGTGTTCCTTCTGTACAATATGACATTAAATTAATAACTTCTGAGAAAGTGTTGGGTTATTTGGGAAACAGCTAGTGGTTTTACAGTCATGATGTGGAGCAGGTATAAGTTCTTCCTACAGGGATGTTCACACTGATGTCAGTGTAGAATGATTGCAGTAGTTAACTTGATATCCTTGTTTCAAAGAACTGGTTTGTAAAGCTTCTCGTGTGTCCTAGATCTGTAAAGGCCCTGCAGGATGCCAGAGCCATCAATACAGAAGACCTTCACCACACTGCCTCCAGGGCCTTCACAAAGCCTGGGCTCTGGGGATCCCAAAGCTCTTTTATCATATTCTCCAGTTTTCCAATTATTTCCTCACTGGAAGGCAAAAGAAATGGGAACTGAGCTGTCCTAATATGTAATTTTAGACAAGTCATGATTCTTTAAAAGTTTGAAGTGTACTAATAAAAAAATTTAAAGTACACTGGATTTTACACATAAAGTGAGTTTGTTATCTGAATGGAAACAGAAAATGGGGTTTTCTGCTTATGGGCGTCCACAAATAATTGTGCATTGAGCTACAGGGACACCTTATGGTTGAGAGTAGTTTTTCAATTTTGAAAAAAAAACCTATTGCCTGAACTCTGAACTTGGGCAAACCAAACTTCTTTCCTTTTAGGCAAAGCAACAAAGCCAAAGAGGAACAATAGAATTATTGTGAAATTTTATGACGTATTGAATTGCTGAGTTTACTAAGTCAGTACCACAGAATGGTTGGTTGTGTAGCATGCTCTTGTATGAGAGCAAAATTTTAATTGACTGTAATTCTTATGAAATTGTTTTTTATTTCTTCTTTGAGTGACTACCCATGCAAAGTCCGTCCTTGGTGGGTGTGTTCTCTGTGTGTGTACGCTTGCCACTGCAGAAAGTTCACTGTCATTCCCTTCACACTTGTTTCATAGCTCTTCGTGAGGCTGCGAGACAGACTAGATCTTTGAAGTGATCTGGGTTAAATATGCCCCTTTCTTTACTCAGAGGAAGAGAACAGAAATATCTTACTCTGGCCTTAGTGCTAAAAACAGCGTATTGGAGAACATGCCAGGGCATGGCTAAAGTTCAGGCCAGTTCAGCTCACACAGCTTCCTCACATATGTTCGTATTCCCACCAGTGTTCTGCTCCTTCAAAGAGGTCAGAAGCCACCCATGATAAGAAACTGGCCTGTTTCCAGGAGTGAAATATGCACGTGCCATTTGATAAAAGTTGCTTTCCCTATCAGTACTGAAGATGGGTTACCCATACAGGTTTACTCAGCCTCCTTCTCTCCTCACTGTTGGAAATTCCTGCATTCAGTTGTTTAAGGACTAGAAGGAAGCCAGTGCAACCATAACATATTGTTATTCCAGACAAAACTCATCTCATACATATGAATGCAGACTCACTAAGAGTGAATAACTGTGTGGATAACACCTCCAAAGGACTCTTGCTTACTAAAAGGCAAGTAAGAGCTCCTTTGTGGAACTGAGCTTTTAGAAGCTTGACCTTTTAGTCTGTTTACTCTGTACTCTCAAAAAAGGAGTTTACGTTCTCAGGCGAAAACTGCTTTGAGAAATGGAGCTGGGGAGATGCTGATGGCAGCACGACTAATTCTGTTCATGTAGAAGGCTGATAAAAAGTCATTAAGCTCAAAGTTTATGGTAGGAAGAATATTGCTATGGCAACAATATTATTTTTCTGAAGAAAAATATGCATAATCAAATATGGCTCATTGGATCCTAAAGGGAAATGAAAATTAGTATGAATTTATTTGTCTGGAATGTTGATTAGTTTAACAGCTGGAGCCAAATTCACGCTGTTTGAACCAATGCTGAAATCGTTCAGTTCAGTCTTGCCTGAGATTGGATGCACCAGGGATCAGAAAGATCTGGCTAGGCGTGGAGGGTATGGAAAGGGATGAGCCAGCAGGAATGATGAGTAAGCTTCCAGTGGGGCAGCAGGATCAGGCAGAGTACCAGGAGATGCAAGGAGTGCCATGAGAGCAGTAGATCAGAGCAGTATGACAGTTTCTTCAAAAATAGCCCTGTCACATATCTGTTCCAGAATAGTTTTTCTAGGTATACCGGGTTTTACAGTCATGGTGTAGTTTGCAGTTTTGGAGCTACTTGAAATGAGACTGACTTGCTGTTGAAATGAGAAAGCGACCAAAAAGGTGTGGGGGCAAGGAATGACATTATCCATGGGGGCTGTAGCCCTTCAAAGAAAGAAGAGGATCTTGCAAGTGGTCTGAAATACTGTAGCTTTTGTTTTCAAATTCCAGAATACACAGTGGTGTTGATATACAATTATGCGTATCTCAAGTGGTCCCATCACATCCCTCACAGATGGAGAGTAATTTAGCATACTGCTACTTCAGACTGTCATGAGTGCTGTTTATGGCTGAGTTCTTCTTTATGGTTTGTTTTTTTTTTAACAAAACTCTTAAAATTGAGCAGAATTAAAGCAGGACAAACAGCAGCATGGGAAGGACTGTTCATTTCAGAGAAAGATTCTGCCATTTTTTCTGGATCCCACTTGCTTTTCATGCTGTGCAATTCTTTACATTTGTGTTCACAGATTCTCACCAATCCAAACCATCACTTTGTCGACAGCTCCTTGTACAAAGATGTTATCTTAGTAGCCTGGGATCCTGCCCCCTACTCTGCAAATTTGAATGTGGTAAGATGTCTGCTTGGACCTTTCTTTGCAATTGGTCTGAAAGGACTGGAGAAAATTAATGTATTTAGTACGGGAGTCCACTGGTTCTCACTTGTCACAATGAACACTGAGGTCTGTCTTTATCCAAAGAGTGGGGAATGTTATTACTGCAAGAACTGGTCAAAATTGGTTTACTGGTCAAAAGTTTTGTAATAGGCAGCATTTGTACAGGAACGGACTGCACTGAGATGCTAGGATAAATGATGATGTTGGGTTTTTTTAGATAAAATATTGCTATTTTCACATAACAGTGACTTTTCTGGGTTTGCCAAGGAGGGAACATTGCTAGATTTCAGATGGAGTTTTCATCAGAAAAGGTGAAGAATTGCATCCATTTTTCCCCACCTTCCACTTTCCCTCCCAGACAAAATACAACACCCTAATGAAAGTCTGTCTTGGCACCTTCCCCATTTCTCAGGCCTCCTCCCTATCAGTCTTCCCTTCGTGTCCACTCCCCCACAGCCATCTGTGTCTCATCATCTGCCCCCTCACTGAGAGCTGCAGACATCCATCTGGTTGTCACTGGGGGAGTCTGTGCTTTGGCTGGTGCTGCACCTCCAGTGGACCAGTTGATCTGATGGTTCTTGGCAGGGGAACCTTGGAGCTGAGCGGGCTGCAGAGTAGAAAGTGAATCTTCATCTGCTGAACTCCCTTAGCAACAGATGCCAGAGGCTGCCTGCCTCCTACACAGGCTGCTGTCAGCCTGCCTCACGTGCTGCTGCTGCTGCCTCCATCAGGGACAGGGACACGTTCAGAGAATGGGTCACCCCCACACTGGGTATCTTGTGTCAAGGCTTTCTGAACACCTTGCTTAACATGGGCCTGTGAGGGAGAGATGGGGTTGGCTCATCCCACTGCAGTGCAATTGTGTATAGGGAGTCTCTGATTGAAGAAAGGAAACAGAATAGCCCAGAGTGAGGACTGGCTTGCTAGGAGAAGAATCCACCAGTGCAGACTGCTTTGCTACCTTTCCTTCTGTTCTGAAGAACCCAAATGTTACTGTACATGTAGTGTTCAAAACACATTTGATACTATAGGATTTTAAATAAATACTACTTTTTTTCTGCCAGTGGTATAAGAAGCCAGACTACAATCTGTTCACTCCCTACGTACAGCATCGCAGGAAGAATCCAAATCAGCCGTTTTACATTCTCCATCCGAAGTTTATATGGCAGCTCTGGGACATCATTCAGGAGAACACTAAAGAGAAGATACAGCCCAACCCTCCTTCTTCAGGTTTTATTGGTAGGTGTATCAGAGGTGGGCATTAGACATGTTAGATTAAAAGAAAACTTGAAAAATTGTGAATGTGCGCATTGCATGAGGGTCAGGTCTATACGCATGTACTATTTGTTCTTGGTACTCCATACAGAAACAGTGACTAGCTAAATCACACAGTCTGAGAACAATAAAATAACTGGGTGAATTTAATGCTCTTCTTTCTTGCCCTTCACATCCATGGTATGCATACTATACTTACAAAGCATACATATATCTGTGAGAAATTTATATTATTCCATATTAATTTATCTGCTGAGAATCTACTAAATTCTGAAGTTCTTCTTCAGGATCATAGAGCAGAGATGCATCAGAAAACAAGTGGAAACATGTGGCAGATGATACAGAGAGGATGAAATCACTGACAGGCCAATCAGTATTCCCTACACAGATCAAGGGATGAGTTTGGTGGGAAATTGGAGCAGATTGCCTAAGGAAGTTGTGAATGCTTCATCCCTGGCAGTTTTGGTTGGATGAGACCTTGCATAACCTCATCTAGAGGAAGGTGTCCCTGCCCATGCCAGGCAGGCTGGAACTAGATGGTCTTTAAGGTCCCTTCCAACCCAAACTATTCTGTGATTCTGTGATTCTGATTTCCCATGCCCTGCTTCAGATTCAAGTGGTCAGTCTGAAAGTGCCCAAAACATCACTCTTCTTCTTACACTTGAAGGAGTAGAGTTTGACTGTATTTTTTTGGTCCTTCCTTAGTATTTCTTGGGGGATAAGTTGGCACTGTGCCTGCAGTGCATGCAGCATAATGACTTACCTGATCCATAGCAGGTCCTGATCATGAACGTCTGAAGGATGCAAGTAGTCAGAAAACCAGGGCTGAGACAGGATCTTCCTTGCTCATGCTTCTAGAGACACGGGGGGCAATAAAGCTCCAAATACTGTCTTCCATTTTGAAAACTCCCATCCTTTCTTCCTTGACGTTGTTATACTGGTCTATGTATTTGCTGCAGTCAGAAAATGCTCTTTTATTCTGTCTGAAAGCAAAGATACCTGTGATTGCATCCAACATGGGAAAGCAGTTCTTAGGTTGTCTCTGTATGCAGTAGTGGCATTCCAGGATATTGTGCAGCCCCACCAAAGGTGTTAGGGAGGATGCTGAAGCTCTCAAAGGGATGACCGTCAGATTGTGGGAGGTGCCCATCGATGATATGAGGGGGTTGTGCTTACCTGGAGCATGAGTGGAAAGAGGAGGCCTTGTGGGTTGGAGGAGGATAACTTGGCAGTTGATTATTTCCTGAAGTGGGATTTTTGGAGCCTGCTTGTAAAAATTCATAAGAAGACTGCTCGTGTGGAATGATCTCACCAGCTGCATTCACATTTTGCAAAAGCATTTCTTAGAGTAATGAAGTTGTTGATAAAAATAGGTTAACAGCTGCTGATTGTAAGAACAGTGAAGAGGATCATTGTGCTGTCAATCTGTACTTCTACCATATATAAGAAACACTTCAAAAGCTTTCTTTGAAGAAATGGAGCTAATTTCACTATAAGAATAGAAAAGTAGTCTTCAACCCCAAATCTAAATGTTCCTGACAAAAAATATTCTTCAAGCAGAGAAAGCTTTGAAAATACCACATTAAGCAAGCAGCAACATTAACAACAAAAGCTGTATAGATAAATATACTGTGTGTACAAATGCAGATTTGCCTCCTTCTCCTCTGCTGGGGATTTTATTTATATTGTTCTTTTTCAAAGGATATGCTTAGACATCGTGGTAATGCTATTGTTAGCTTTAAGAAAGCTAGGCAGTAAGGCAGGCTTGTTGGGAGTCATATCCACCTCATTTGATAGCTAGCTACTGTTCTGATAGATGCATTTGAAATACTTTTTTTTAGGGAGAGGCTTCCTATTTTGATAACATTATTGAATGGATGCCTGTGCATTGCATGTGTAACATAATAAAAAACTAGGAGACAGCACAGAAATAGCAACTGCGTATTGTCAGAGGTGAAAATAAAGGGCAAGATAAAGCATAAATATACAGTGTAGATAAGATTGGCAAAAACCTGAAAAGTCACATTGGTCTTCAGATCAGGTATCACTCAACAACTCATGCAGTAAATAATCTAGTTGGGAATGAAGATGGCAGACACAACTGAGTGCACCTGTAAGAACGGTGTATCCTGAATATTGAGCTTCTACTTGATTCTTCTAAAATCTATAAAATTATTTCTTATAAAGTTAATAGAAAGAATGGGTAAGTTATGGCCATCATAAAATATGAGTGTCTTAATTTCAAGAAGACACAGGGAAAATGGTTTATTAAATGGCCACGCTGCTAATACTGTTGTGCTCAAAACATCTGTATGAAGGAAGATAGACTGTTAAGTAGAGGGTATGAATTTTCACAGGCAGAGGGACCTATAGCCCTGAATCTAAGCTCTTTATAGCATGGACCAGCATGACTCTAATCACTTTATTCTAGTAACTTATTGTAAGTCTGTGTGCAATGCTCTGTGATTAGAATGAGTGGAGACTGTGCAAGGATCTGGTTTGTCTTTGTCCACGTTTACACCGGCAGAAAGTTAGGTAGACCTCTGTGAGCTGTGGTTACTTGTGGAGGAAGAGCAGCAGTTCCTAAGTTCACTGTTGCTACCAGTAATGGGGAAAAGATAAAAAAACAAACAAGCAAACAAACAAAAAATGGTTCTGGGTGAAGTGAAGCACTTTTATTTAAAGCTTTTTTAACCTTCTGTAGTCCCAGTCTACAAAGTTGGAGAAATGTATAAATTAAAACATGGAAATGACAGACTTTTTCCTTTCAGGAATGTCAGGAATATTTTGGGGTGGTCTTAGACTGTTTCTTCAGTAATTGCTTTTCTCACCTGGCAGTTTTATCTGTTTCTGCCACTTAGCATTATTTATAAGAAGCTGAGTCTTTCCAAAGGGAGGATGCTTGGTGGAATGTGTTCTCATGGTGCTTTGCAGCAGTGAGACAGCATCCTTCAGCAGTGATTGATGTCAGGGGAATCATTTAACACTGTTAATAGCTGTATTAAAGTACTTAAGTCACAATGTTATTAAGTCTCTTGGAAAAGGGGCCAGTGGGTCATTTATGAGGAACAGGTAGTCTCACATGCTGTGACTTTAGGGGAATAAGTGAGAAGAGGTAGCACCTTTTCACTGGTTTCTCCATTGCATGGGAGCTAGGAAGATTTTCTGCACGCACTTTGGCATATGGGATGCCCTGACTTGGCATAAGCTCCTCCTGGAGCTTCTGGCTCCCAAAACCCTATGCTGAGGCAAGACAATAGCATTGTGATGGCTGGTAGTTGGGGTGAGGGGAGTGCAGCACATGTGTCAACTGTAAAGGAGGAGAGAGGAGAGGATGGGGAGAGAAGTGTGGCAGCATTGGTGGTGCTCTGCAAATTGTGTACACAGTAAGGCATAAGTCTGTCCCTGCTTCCAGTCTCTTCTGAAATGATAACACACACACTATAGAGGTTTAAAGCCAGGTGAAATGAATATTACCCAGTAAATATCAGCTTCCTCCAAGATTAGACTTTCTCCATTCTTCTGCATCAGGTTCTAACCTGTAGATGATCCTCTCTTTGTTTTTCTTCTACCAACTCATGGAAACCCATCTATGGCCAGTATCAGGCTGCACCTTAACACTGCATGCAGACCCACATCTCACTGCAGTCTTTTCTGCTAAATTTGTTTAAATTTTAGCATTGTTTTCTACATGACTTAGTGATGGGTATGAGTTCAGGACATCATTGAAAGTAGGCTGAACTCACTGTCTTGTTAGATTGTGGCCTGTTTGCTAGGTGTTACTTCTGGGGTATACCATGTCTAGGAAGGATTAACATGTCACAGACAAGTCACCCTTTAGTATGCTGTTTTCTACCTCAAAGGTTATTAATGACCTAGAAAACAGAGACTGGGTTTTGGTTTGGTTTTGGGTGGTGTTTTTTTTTTGTTTTTTTTTCTCGCGGGAGGGAAAGGTTCTCTAGGGTAAAATAATTTATTTTAATCTGGGAGTCTTTTTTGGCTTGTTTTGTGAGTCACCAGTGTGGGCTTTCCCTGGCTTGTAACTTTGCCTTATGTGACATGTCATAGCTTAGCTAATGTCACTCCTCATTATAAACTGTTTGCTCTTTGACTTCCTAATCTAATCCTTAGATGAGCTTTGCAAACCCATTCTTGTGTATCTTTGCATCATTTCTGCAGCTGCCACCTTCAAGCTTCTGAACAAAACTCTGCACAGTATTACTCTCTTGCATTAGCATTAGACAATTGCCGTAGTTAGTTTTTGCAGTTTAATTTGTTGGTTCACATTTGGCTGAAAATTGTATATGTTTGTATCACAACTTTGGTCTGTTCCATGTTTTTTTCAGAAGAAATGCAAACATCCAGACCCCAAATCTTGAACTTGGATTCCACTGGCAAATCCTAAATTAACAGTTGAGAAAACATCACTGTTCTTAAAGAAGGATTTGCTCTATCTTTTGGCATCAGAAATAAGTGTTACCTCTTCACTTCCTACTAATACATTTTTAACTGCGAAGTATGAACTCAGTCTTCTTCCTCTCTTTTGGAACATACCAATGCTGAGTTTTTAATTGAGGCTGAGTGCGTATATATCGGCAGTCTCTATTTTTACCACTCTTCTGCAACAGAACTGTTCCTACACCCTCCTTGGTAGCCTGTGTAAACAACCTAGTACTGACCTTACATTTTTGTCATCTGAAGACTGAGGCTAAAACTGTTTCCTTGAGTTTCTCAAGAGCAGCATTCTGTGCGCATTAGATGGGATGGTACATTAGCATTTGGAAAGTTTGCAGGCTTTGTAGTAATGTCTAGATTATATATAGGCTTTTCGATGAAGATTTTGCTCCTGTCTGTTATTTACTAACTGGATTTGCTATTAATTCTTACTTGTCGTAGTCCACCAGTACACCTTGCTAGCTTACGTCTTCAGACGTGTATTTACTTGAAATTTGCATCCATATACCTTTATACCAAACAGCTTTTGTCTTTTTAGAAAGCTAGTTGAAAGCTCTGACTGTGGTATTATATTGTCTTTTTTTTTAATCCCAAACCAAGACATAGTCTAAAAATAATATTTTACATTATCTTTGTAGGTGGTAGTCTTTGCTATGTGTTGTAGCTTTTACCATAGCATATGAACCACTGAACGCAAAATAACTAAGCCCAGATGACTTTATTGCTGGGAAAAAGAAAGGCTTGTTTGAGGCTTTGCAGTTGACATTACAGATTTAACAGTTATGCATCATTAATAGTTGATAACATTATTTTAATCTTCATTTGCATGCACTGAGACAATAGTACAAGCAAGACTTATCATTACACTGCAACATTAGCAGATCATTGTATGACTAAACTTAAATTTAAAATGGCTTCAGAGAGCATGTTGAATAGAACAATGCAGCTGATCTCTAGCTCAGCTTAGAAAAAATACGCTTGCATGATCTGAAAGAAATAATTCCACATTATTAAGAGTTGCCTTTATTACTGTTACTTAGCTGTTTGCCAGCAGTTGGTGAAGGAACAGAATAGTGCTTACTCTTTGCAGCTCAGTTTTGTTCAAGTATTACCACAAAAATAAATAACTCCAAATACATCAGCTTTAAATTCTTCTTATTCTAATAAAAGGACTCTTAAATTTGACCACCTCCTACCTCCTGAAATACAGAGGTAAAAGAACAAACTCTCCTCTTACAGCACCCCAAATCACACACATATTTGAGTAATACATTTAAAATTATATGATTACTGGTCAGCATTTTCCAGACTACGTTCATATTTCAGAATATACTACTGTGATTAATGTACACTGTTTTCATTCAGCATTAAGTGATAAATATGTCATTTTCTAGGTTGTCTATATAATGAGAGTGTCTATACATTAAAGATGACAAGTACCACACAATTTACTAAGCTTAGGCACCAGGCCATTTGGTGACAATTAAATTCCTTAATAAATATTTGGTTTTCTTGTGGTTAGTATTCTTCATAGTTCATGAGCTAAACAGAGGTAAAAGAACCCTTTTTCAGAAACATAGTATTTTAAAAAGCCAGAGCTACTTTTACTATATATTCCAAAGAATATATAGTAACATTTGGCCCAGTTTCAAGGAGTGACAGGTTTTCCTCTTGTATCTTAAATCCAATCAAGAGATACTTCTGTAGAAGTAGACCAGCATATAGAAAACTATATGTTCTGAATGCTTTACGTTTACTTGTAATGTTTTCAAGTGCACAGGTTATCAAACATAAACTTATTAGTGTCCCTATCTAAATTCTTTTCTGTGAACAAATTTGTTGTGTGTGTGAAATGAGACACATTATGAGTACAATAATCAGATTATGTGTATTTGTTTTCAGCATATTTTGTTAAAATGAATACTGAGTTCTTGCTGAATATCTGAATTACGCTTACTATTCCAGATGCTTGCATACAGCATCTGTTGTATTAGGTATATTAAACTATATTTTATTTACTTGTAAACTAGAGACCATTCTTTTTTAAATTAGTGTGCTAACCACAAAGCTTAATTGTATTGTACAAAAGATGCATGTTGAAAATTCAAAATCTCTTGGGTCATTAAAATTGCCAAGAACAAATTGAAAAACATTTTCTCCTTTTGATTAGAATCCATAGTACGTGTTCATTTGTATAAACCACCCATGCAAGGAATTTAATTTTAATTTAATTCTGGTTTAAATGTTTTCAGTGCAAACTGTGAAAGCTCAGGAGTTTATTTGTGCCAACTGGACTGAGTTTAAAACATACCCAACACTTCTGACACCACAGATATCTGCCAAACAGGAAAAAAAGTAACACATCTGTCTAAGGATTTGAAATAATAATATATAATATTTTGAAATACATAATACTTCATCATATACAGCATCTAATATGGTACTGTTATATCAAACTTGCAGGTTGACTGCTTCTCTGACAGCCACATCATTTCTTTGGAATAATATATTTAAAAATATTTTTTCAAGACTATTCTATGAGTCCCTTCCAAACCATTCTATGATTCTGTGATTCACAATGCTTATTTTGTCTAATGCGGTAGTCATGAACATTGCCATTCAACTATAAAACGTTCATAGAGCATAGCTGTGAATGATCTACTATAAAACAAATTTTCTCCACACAGGCAGAATTATTTTGCTTTTTTTGAATTTTCACAGTTGTAATCCAAATGTGACTTCTGAAAATCCAGTAAGGGCATTAGAATTAGTGACCTATACAGAAATATCTTCAGTTGTGATTTTGAATGCATGGTTGCACCAGTCAACACTTGCCAAAGCTGAAATCATGCCAGATACCCTAACATCTTCCTTACTGTGTTAGATTGGATATTAAGACCTAAAAGTTTTAAAGGTTAAGCAACAGATCTGGAAGAGATCAGGTCTGATGGCCATTTTACACCTGCATGCTGTGCCACCCAGGCTTCCCCTACAGTCAACAAGGACACAGGAACTTCTAAGACATTACTTGTATGATCTATTTTTAAATATCTACTCTGGGATGAGTAGACATATGCTGCTTCCTTAAAAGTGCATACTTTCATCTAGGGCAGCAAAGGAGCCTGTGATACCTGTCTCAGGTGTGGGTAACTGCACCAGTGGGCACATTTGGTCAGAAGAATCACACCTCATTTTCATTTTTTCTTACAGTGCTCCTGGAAAAGCCAGTTAGATTATTTTTTCACAGAGCTCCAAAAGCGTCTGACCTAGGAGAATGGCAGAGGAGGTGCTTGATACCAAGAGCCAGACTCTTCAGTTTCTGCCTAGCCACTGGAGAGGAACAACACTTACAGGGAACAATCTATCCTAAATATAGGTGTCCTAAAGTATACATCTAAAATAAGTCAGATGACTTCTGTCCTAGAAATGCCTGTCTCCTGCACTGTGTATAAATATGAGTACTTTAGACCAGCTAGGTCAGAGATTGGCGTGAACATATCAGTTAGATTAATTCTGTCCAGAGCGTAAGATGTTGGGACACTGTGCTCATTATGTCACCCTAGGTCTGTGCTGTTTCGTATGTAGTAATTGTGCATTGACTGAAAAATAACTTAAGGACTATAAGCAAAGACAAATATTGAAGTGTATCATAAGGAACTTCTTCGCCCTACAGGCTATCAAACAATATGTTTTTCATTCATACTGATGCTGATGATCATGGAGGACTGCTAAGATGTGAAACAAACTTGCAGACAAATTTGGCAGTAATGTGAAAAGTACACAGACAAAAGAAGTATGTGTAGGCATGTACTCTGCAGGCAGTTCAGGGAAAAGAAGTAAATACAGGACATTTGGAAACTACAGGTGCAGGAGGAAATGCAAACAGGTTCAGCCGTAGAAGAGAAACCTAGGAAGCAATAATAGATTTGTAAAGGTAAGAAATGGGAAGCAATGTAGGACTTTTCATAGTACACTGGCAAGCAAAACAGGTTAGCAGAGGCAAGATCAAGTCAGTAAGCAGTCAGGAGCATACATCTTCTTTATCTTTCAGACTGCATCCAAAACATAAAATACTCATAAAAGTTCAAATGTAATGTAAAAAAAATATTTTGGGGATCATTTAAGTGCCAAAAAGCTACTGGTAATTTAGAAAAAATATTACAAGATCACTGAAGGTAACTGTAAGAGAGAGGGAAGATGGGGAAACTGAATTGTGAGGTAGATGAAAATATAGACAGCTTGGCACACTTATACCTGCTGGATGCAGACGGCAGTAACTCACTGCAATGTTAGCACCAAGGAAAGAAAAAAATTGAGTTCAAGAGTGTTACAAAAACCATGGGTGGGAATATGAGGCAGGTAGCACAGGGAGCTCCATCAGCAGTGCTGAGCTAGAGGCTTAGGAAAAACAAGCTAGTAGACATGGCATTAGAAAGTAAAAATTGAATACGTCCTAATGCATGGAGTGGTGTAAATGTCCTCATTGTCTAAACCGTCGCTAGTATTTTAAAGATGCTTAGTTAATATTTTTTATAAACTTTGATAGCAATAACAGCTCTACAACACTAGGGCTGTCGCTTGTGGAGAGGCTTCACATCCTCTAAGGTACAGGACAGAAATGAACCCATTTTTTCCCTGCTTTAGTGAGGACTGTATTCATACAAAGAAAACAGCTTCTTTTCCAAAAAAGCTGCTTGGTTTGTGTTTGTTTTGGGGTTGTTTTTTTTTTAGCCCCACCCCTCTATTTTTTTTTATTTTTTATATGGTGCTATGTTACTTTCTGTTTTTGAACGGAACGGCAGAAGCAGAACATTCCAAGGGAGAATTTGGAAGCTGTGACAGTGAGGTGGAGGGACCTACTTCCTCAGGTTCATGTAGACTGACTCTGTAGTCCTGCATGCCCTGGGACTCGCCCATAGGTATTTGGGAGCACTGGTTGTACCACATCACTGGTCTCTTTGGCTGCATGTCTGTAGTGCTAAAGGAGAAAAAGCCTGGCACTGACTGCTATTATTCCCCAGAATAGGGTTTGTCTTCCCTCCCTCAAAACATCATTGTTCAGTATGAGCAAAAACTTGAGTGGACTGACAGAAACTGGTTATTTATGAGCAACCTAATCTGAAATCCCAAGACATGGACTGGATGGAACAAAGCAGGAAAGGCAAGAAGCTAAACTAAATATCCCAGTGTGCCTTTTAGATTGACTCTGGAGGACATTGATCCACAGATCACTAAGAACTAAAACTCTTAAATGCTCCATTAACTGATTTACAGGAAAGTCAATGATATTGCTAAAAATTTTGTCATTGTTGTACCATCCTTGCAGTGATGTGGCCATCTTTGTGGTTATTAAGGAAATGATAAGTGAGCCCCAATATTTGTTCTTGACAGTTTTCCTATCACACAAATAGCGACTTCCTTTATGAATGTTAAGGTTAGCTGGGTAAACATGGCAGTGAAATGAAACACACTGTGGTTAAGGCCTGTACTTCCAGTCAGAGCCAGTTTTCCTAAGAGACTGGTGGTAGAGCTTTTGAAACTCCAGGCTCCAGGTTTGGCTCTGGGTGCAGGAGAGAAGTCATTTTACTGCTTCTGAACGTGGTTCATTATTGCATATATTTCCACCATCCGTCCCCTGATTCAGCTGGATAACGGTTACCTTGGAGTGGCAGGTGGGCTCTCCATCAGTGGCAGAAGGAGGTTGGCAGTGGAAAAGCTGACGAAAGCATTTGTAAAACTGAAACAACAAACAAAACAACTCTAGGCATAGTTTCTAGGCAGGATACAATTCAAAGCATCTTTGTAACAGCTTGGAGGTGAGTAAATGTGGTTTATTAAGCTCATAATTTGCTTACATTTGTGGACTTTTCTTTGAAATTTATATGCTTAGCTTTTCTAAGACCATAGAGTGTAAAGCTGTAAAACAATCCAAAACATTTTCAGAACCTTTCATTTATGATAAAAGAAGGTTTAATCACAGAAGTAATTGGTTTTCAGTTACTTCACACATCAGGCAGGGAAAAATCATTTTGATAATCTAATGATACACAGCAGGGAGAACATAAGGTTCTTTTCATTAGCAAGCCATTGAAATCTGTGTGTTCCCAAACTGCAAACTGAACTTCAGAAAATGTCTTTCCTTAATTAATGAACCAAAATGATTTATGTTAATTCATTTCACTTGTGAGATCTACCCAAAACACCTTTGATGTGTTATGATTCCAAAGCTGTTGTACAGAATAAAACAATTACATCAGTTCTCATTTGTAAGTGCAAAGTGAGCAGTATTATGCAGCTGTCTCCTCTGAGAGCTGACGGTCATATTCAACAGACAGGGATACCAGTAGTGCAACAATTGCTTTGATACATTTCATTGTATTTTTAGTTTTTAAATGAAATCTAAAAAAAAAAAAAGTTATCCAAGGCTTACTTCATCATTTCCCTTTCATGTGGCTCTGTGAAACAGAAGAGGCTCCCAGAAGCTGTGACTGATGTGAAAGTATTGCAGTTTAGATGGTGCTGTTGATCAGTATCTGATATGCATCCCTTCAAAAATGTGTGGCCACACCAGTAAGATTTCTTCCATTTCAAAGCTAAAAAGACCTCCTGCTAGTACAGATTTATAGTTGTGCTGTAGGGGAACAAAGTTTGCAGAAGCCCACCTATCTTCCTCCTGAATGTGTCCTGGTCTGCTTCTGATCAGAGCATAGGTGATACCGGCCCATCTTTCTGTTCTTGTTTCCCCTTGCCATAGTGGACAAAAATGGAAAGGGGAATCAGTCAGAATCTTCATAGCTTTGAAGATAAATGTGTGTAAATATTTGAAAGAAATGCATGCAAAAGCACAGAGGAGGATAGAATGGGCATATCTGGAATTCTTTTATATATCCTGTACCTGGCAGGCCAGAGTTCAGCTTTGGATGTGGTAGAAGTACCGGGAGGAGCTAGGAGGAGCTCCTTAGAAACACCAGACAACTGCTCTATGTGTGTGTATGTCTTCTCTATTCTGCAAGTGAATATGAAGACCTAGTCTGTCTTGCTAAATAGATCAAGAATTGATAATATACGAGAAAAGCAAGAAAAGTGATCAGCTGACTCAAAAAAAAAAAGTGGTATGAAGCTGCATTAGGTCCTGATTCATTTGTGGGATGTTTTGTGGACAGGACAGGGTAAATGGGAGGAGGTGGAGAGAGCAGTCTTCTCACTGAGAGAGGCTGATGGTGGTATGCAAGCCCTTTACAGGCTTTTTACTCTTTCCTTATGGTTGTTGTCCTACCCTATTGATTGTACAGGGATCACAATCTTTATGTATCAGGGAAAAGTGAAAGCTGCTCTAATACAAAGGCAATTACTTAATGATTTTACAGATGTAATACTTAAGGTGTGCAACACCAAAGGAAAGCAGGAAAGAAAAACAAGGTTGATGACTATAGGGAAATTTCTGTGAGAAAAGTGAAATCTGGGGTTCACTTTTGTCTTCACTTTCTGCTCCAGGTATCCTCATCATGATGTCCATGTGTAACGAAGTGCACGTGTACGAATACATCCCTTCCGTTCGACAGACTGACCTGTGTCACTACCATGAACTCTACTACGATGCAGCTTGTACCTTAGGGGCCTACCACCCACTGCTCTACGAGAAACTGTTGGTGCAGAGGATGAACAAAGGTTTGCAGGATGATCTGTATCGGAAGGGGAAAGTCATTTTGCCAGGGTTCAAAGCTGTCAAGTGCCCCAAACGAAATAATTTCCCACACTTGTAGAGGAGAGTCCTTCAGAAACAATGTGCAATAAGGTACTACTGTTGTACTATAAACAAGAGAAGAATACTTGAAAATGTATCTTAGACCAATGTAGTCTTGAGTCTATAAACTGTAATTAAGTAGCAGGCATGAGAAATACTTCTTTTCTGAGCCTGAGTATTTATTACTGTTTTGCAAATACTTAAAAAAGGCTTAGCTCATGAAAGGTGCAAAGGACATACTTAGGCAGAAATATAATGTATTGTTGTGGGTGTGAATGTCAGAATTTGTCAGTGGTCTCTTGTGCCACATATGCTAGACTGTAACTTTTCTTTAATGAACTTATTTAACTGTCAAATCTGGCATTGTGAAACAGCCTCTATTGTTCATGTACAGAGCAGCCAGTTGAACAATGCAGTGTTTCTCATGGCTCCATGGGGTTTTCACACTCTCCAAGAATGAAGTAATCACTACTCTGAGCTGTGCAGTCATTGACTAGAGTAGACTCTTAATTCCTGTTCACACACAGGCTCAATTACAGGCCTCCAGCTGCACAGGGGGCCTTACGGTGGCTATGAGGTCAGTGCAGATGGAGATGGCTGTACACATAGCTAAACCAGTTAATTGACTGGATGTACTTCTGATGCCAGATACCCACACTCACACTGAAATGCCTACATAGGGCAGAAGGAAGTAAAAAATATTTCTTTAGAGAGCAACAGACATATTTGTAACCCATTTAGGGAAAAAACTCCCTGGGAGGCATATCAGGAGGTTTTGAGATGGAAATTTTATTGTTCCCCTGGTCTGCACAGATAAAGAAGAAAAAGAGAAAGACAAGGGAGGCTGTGCACCATTTACCCACCACGCTAAAAGCAAACATAGAGGGAGCTTACCTTTCTGCAGCAAAGATAGCATGCAGGATTACAGACATCATTTATGAGGTATTTCATTTGAGCTCTGACTCAAACTCACTTGTTCACAAGTTACTGCTGTTAAGAATATATAGGGAGTGGATATCAGAATTTTTTATTTAGTGTTTGAAAGACTATACCCCAGAGAAGCTGCAGTGCTTGCAAAAAACCTGACTACGGATTGCATATGGAGATAATTCAGTATTTTCCTTCATAACACACAATGAGAATGTTATCTTAAGGCGCCTCTAAAAATCCGCCTGGTTGCTAATATATTTAAAATGCTATTTTCCACGTCAAGACTTCAGTCTCAGATTTTCCAAGCAGCAGGAGGTTAATATTCCTTTTTTTTTTTTCACACAACTGCACACTTTCTTTTAGGGTAAGTTCAGCAGGAACGTATGCACACAAAAGCACAGCTACATCCTACTTGTGTCCATTCAGTAGAAAGGCAGACAACTCAAAGAGGCTCTGAAAAGAATAGCTGAGTGGTTGTGGGGGAAAGTAATTTTTGTGTTTTCTCTTAAGCAACAAAAAGGCAAAAGAGTACAAAGAGCATTAATGACTATTTCCTCCTCAATAGTAATGTAAGTATAATCACAAAATCCTTTTTCCCTCTCTGATCTTTGGGTCTGATGGATTTCCTTCATCAGAAGTGAAGAGTATGTGTCTTACATAGGATTTACCTTTCTTTGTCTATGTAGTTTCTTAATTTGGGCTTTATGATCCTCTTTAAGATTCCTCAACAGAAAGTATGTCCAGATGAGCTAAAAACTGTAGTTCTGTGTTATGTATGTCCATAAATCCCTTCGGTACATGTTAAAATGAAGAGGTTTTACTCATACTAGCCTTAGACTCTGGATATATTACATACTGATTTCTTGATAACACTATGATTTAATCGTATGGAGAATAGATAACCTACAAAGAACTAATCTATTTTTCCATATGCTTAGTACTCTGTTTGCAAAACATAGGAAGTCTGAACAGTGCAACCAAACATGTCTGTCTCTCCTGTATGCAGGATTAGCTACCACATGTTTGTAAAGGAAGGCAGTTGATCAGCTTTCTAGGACTAGTGAATATGCTACTTTTCCATGAGCAGGAAATTCTCTCAAGTTCTGAAAAGAAAAGGAAGTGTATCACTTTGGCTGGTCTGCAGCCACTAACCTTTAGCTTTGATTTTCACAAGGAAGAAAAATACTAACTGCATTACTCAACTACCCACACCAGGATTATGCTGTATTACTCCCTCAGTAATTTGTCAGAGCAATCAACATAGCTGTTGTACAGAACAAGGCAAATTATAAAGTTACACGTAATAAGCGCTAAGCATACCTACTTAATACAACATTTAAATAACAATGCAGTACCGGGTCTGAGGTGTTACAGAATGAACTGTATATTTTTAATACACTGGGCTGCCCGCATTCAAGGCCTCCCAGCAGATACTTTTTTCTTTGCCTGATTTATATGGCAGCCAGTGATCCTTCTGCAAGTGCAAATGTGGGTGCTGTAGCACCATTACCTCAGAAGATGACATAGAGCTGTGCTGCAAACGCTTGCTCACAGAGGAGGAAGAGCAGCGTGTGGTGTCTAAGCATCCCAAGCATGCCTAAAAAAAGCATCCCTCCGGTGGCTTCCCAACACTTGTTTCCACTGTGATGTTTTACCGGTCTGGCTGCTCAAACACCTTGTGGCTCCTTAAAGAGATTTTACTCCCCTACCTTGTCTTGTCCTCCTTTGGGTTTTGGCACAAGTACGAGTGTGCCTGATCTGCTAACCGAGGGCTCGCCTCCATTTGCTGCGAGAGGAGAAGGGGCAGAGATAAATAAAGGGGGGTCATAAAGGACCTGCAGAGGTGTTCCCCTCAACACTGCTTATGCTTTGTGGCATTGGCATTGCTGGCTTTTAGAAAAGCCCACCAAGTATTTTTGCAGTTATGGGCACGTCCCCATCCCACATGAGGGCAGAGTGATATTTACAAAGAATCATTCGGTAAATTCAAAACAGGGAGTGTGTATTAACACTGAACTATGTATCTTTTAATAATAATAACATGTGCAGGTGCTGGGTTTAGATACATATATTAAATGCAGACAGTGTGAAAAAAAAAAGCCTTTTTCCACCCAGATCGTGGTTTTCGGGGAAGCAAAGATAGGCATGGCTTTGTATCTCTCCCGTGTGTCTGTCACATGCTAACAGAGTGGAACAGCACTGTAGACAAGAGAGGTTTGCACAAACTGGGCTACTGAGGTGCATCATCAGCCAAGCAAATCCCTCTGCTACTGGACCCCTGAGCTCCCTTCACACATGTTGCAATAATGCAGGTTTAAAATTTATGAAGTATTACTGACAAGTAGGAGTAAGTTGCCTTCAAAAGCTATGGAGCCTCATTTCTGTGCCGTGGTGCTGTGGACAACAGTGAACTTAGCTGAAACAAACCAGACACACAGCAGCACCTTAAGGAAACATTCTGAGTTTATGCTGAATTTCATTATACTCTTTTTCCACTGTGAATTCCGTAGCTTTTCTGACTTGTGGTGCTCTGTCATTTTATGCATTCATCCTTTGGATGGTTAAACCAAGGCATTCTTTGTCTATTCAAGAAAAAAAAAGAAAAGATAGAGTTTGCCTCATTTTGAGCTGAAATCCTTTTGCTAGACAAAAAATTGTTGCATTCCCTCATCGTTCTAAAGGTTACCTGAGCATAAACTCACAGCTCAGTCATTCCTTGGATTAAAGTACTACATCTTTTTTTACCTTGCTGTGCAGTTTTACAGTGTTGAAACTCTGGTAAAGTCATTGAAATTATCATGATACAAGAAATATGTACCTTTGGGGAGAGAGTGAGGGGTGATTTACACTCCTTAATCTGCACTCTCTTTGACAAATTTAGGTAAATCATTGCATGTCTTTGGTCAGGACACTTTCACTTTGGTGAAAACATACAAATTCTGAAGTTGCTGCTGGAGAACTCTTGCCAAAGGCAGGAAAACCAAAACAGTTTTTTTCTTAAATGAAGACAGGTGTCTACACTCAATGGTTGCACAGACTGAACACAGTCATTTTAGAGATGGATTGAATTAAACAGGAGCTCAAAACAAATGTAGACCGATCCAGCCCATAGTAGGGTTTTACTTTTTCATTTCCTTCTCTTCAGCAGTTTTGAAGGATGGAAGATGCCATTTGGACAGTGACACAGATGTACCATGAAAGGATATTAAATGCATTGACTGCAAAATAAATGGATAGTATTTTCCCTTTCATGCTCTCTAAAGTTGATCCTTATTGAGTAAATTAAATTGGGTTTGAGGGTTGGTTTTTTTTTCAAGTAGGTAATTTAGAAGACTGCCATCAGAAAGCATCTGAATCTTTCCTGGGAGCTATCCTCTGACACACAAGGAGGATACCTGATTTAACTGTTTGGAATTTAAAGTAGCCCATGTCTGGGCATACCTGCATTATTGAATGAATTTTGACACTGCAAATTTCTTCTCTTTGGCTTAGTGATCAGATTCAGAGTTTTGTTCTTGAAATAAAGACTTGTGTGTAAAAGCCTTTCATTTATTCATATCATCTCATCACTCTTATAATATGTAGTCATTGAACTATTCAAATATAGACTGTGTACTTTTTTAATAGCTTTGGGAATTATTTTGTATGATGATTTTTTTAAATGAATGTGTACTCTAATAACAAAGCTTAAGATTTTACAGGAGTCACATTTTTAAGCAGTGTTTGTATACATTTTAACACTTTCTATATTTTCTATTATGATTTTGTATATTTTTAAGTATGCACAGTGTACAGATTTTTTCCTGTAAATAAAACATTTGTTTTAATTTGTTTGGGAGTTCTGGTCTTTTTGTGTTGCTTTGACTGAATGACACTGAACTGCAGATAGAACAAAACAGGGAAGGTGCCTGTCAGTCCTGCCCAGTAATGCAATGAAATCTCAGATCAAAAGAGACAGGCTGACAAGCAGCTTTCACAGAAAAGAGGCAAGTGTAGTTAAGCCAGTTTTATTCTAAAACGAACATGCCTACCCAAGCAGGTGCTCTAGTCTCCCCTAGGAGAATACAGAATCAACCAGGTTGGAAAAGACTTTTAAGATCATCAAGTCCAACCATTACCCCAGCACTGCCAGGTCCACCACTAATCCATGTCACTGAGGGCCTCACCTACAAGGTTTTTAAACACTTCCAGGGATGGTGATTTCACCACTTCCATGGTATACCGTACTGCTCTATGTTTGACCATAAATTTCTTGGGGTAATGAAGCCCTCTAAGGAGGTCATGCTCTGGCAACTTGATGCTGTACTTGAAATGCTGGTAAACTTCAGCTAAATGGCTGTGTCTCCCATTCAGGGAATCCAGCATCATGTTTTGAAGAGTAAGATCAGACTTTTCTATCAATTTATTATTAACCAAAATGAAAAATAACAAAGGGAAAACATAACTTACCGTTCAGTCTGTGATGAAATTTAGCCACTGTGTGTCTGCTTACATCCATTAAATCTGATGTGTTGTGCTGCTTTTGGTAATCTTTGAACTATGCAGGGCTCGAGTTGGGCCAATGGAGGTGACAGTCACTGTTTTCATCCCAAGGTTCACCATGAGTCCTTGCCAGTTACACAATAGTGGAATGATAAAAGTTCGATTGCTGTTGCGTAAACCCCTGGCAGCCAGTAATGGAGCAGCTCATCCTGTGTATTACACCACCTTCTGGCAGGCTGTGTGGGGGGGGCTAACTATTACATGTCACAGAATGCAAGTAACACCTCTCAAAAAAATCAGAAGAGTGAGCTATGATAGGAGATAAACTGAATACTGAGATGCACAAACAAAGCAACTAACTGATGCTTTCAAAATCCATCAGCTTTGCTTTTACTGCATATGTGGTTTTTTTCCATCTAAAAAACCAACAAAACATGATGTATTCCATCTGATAAAATGCTGAACTTCATTGTGTATGACATGAGAGCAGACAGCCTTGTCTTGCTGCATACAAACCAGTATCTCAGTAGGAGGCTGAAACCATGAACTATACTGTGTGGAGTACACAGAAAATCTTGCTGTGACAGCTACTGGAGGTGTGACATTACCTTTCTGATAGTATCTCAGAGAACCTTGGAGGCAACTCATTATTCTCAAAACTGGCCTGCCCTTTTCTAAACAACATTTCTTTCAAAGGGGTATCTTTTATATTTTTATTCATAGAAGTTGGCTGTGTTTCATTTGAGAGGCTCTGAGGGACATAGTTCTCTGGCAGGTCAAACTTCACACAGGCATTTCGGTCTACATCTGCATTATTAGCTTGCCTGTTGTGATCTGGCTGAAACATGTCTCAAGATGATTGCTCCAACTTGCTACCGTGACTGCATAATGAACCTGTTTAAGTGATTCTTCCCCTCTACTCTGCTCTCATGAGACCCCACCTGCAGTACTGCGTCCAGCTCTGGGCCTCCCAGCATAAGAAGGGCATGGATTTGTTGGAGTGAGCCCAGAGGTGGCCACTCTGGAGCACCTCTCCTGTGAAAACAGGCTGAGACAGGGTGGTTCAGCCTGGAGAAGAGCAGAGTCTGGAAAGACCTTATAGCAGCCTTCCAATACTTGCATGGGGCTTACAAGAAAGATGGGGTCAGACTTTTTATACAGCCTGTAGTGACAGGACAAGGGGTAATGGTTTTAAACTAAAAGATTTGGGTAGATTTAGGCTAGATACAGCAAATAATTTTTTACAATGTGAGTGGTGAAACACTTCCAACAGGTTGCCCAAAGAGGTGGTAGCTACTCCATCCCTGGAAACATTCATGGTCAGGTTGGAGAGGGCTCTTAGCAACCTGATCTAGTTGAGGATATCCCTGCTTATTGCAGGGGTGGATCAACCAACCTTTAAAAGTGCTTCCCAACCCAAATGATTTTATGATTTTATGACAAGAAAAGCTGGACGGAGAGGAGCCAGTCTTTTGCTGTAATCATACCCACCACCTTCTTCTGCAGGAAACAGCACCTGCAGTAATGATTAGGTAGTGACTTAGTGTGGGAGTTCTTCATCAGTCAGTACAGTCTACTAACACTTGTAGTTTGGTTGGACTTCTAGCTCTCCTAGCATCTTGATCTTCCTAGGGTAATAAATGGATAACTTGATTGCTTCATCCTAATAGCATGGATTTACCTGCTGTACCCCAAAACCTAGCAATGTTCACTCCATACATATATCTTTCCTTATTTTTAACATTTAGATTCAACTTTCTTACAGTGGTAGGTTACTCCAGATAGAGCCCTTCAATGAAATTACTGCACCCTTGTGTAAGTTAAGTAGAGCCTGACCCCCGAGCCTCATGCCTTGATACCCAAGGCAAGTTAGAATTGCGTGCCCTGTTATTTCTTTTTACCAAAAATATGCTACTGTTTAAGTATATGCTTATTAAGCTTGATGGAAATGCTAACTGAATATATTAAAATGTCAGGGAACTAACTGCAATGCAGTAATAGAGTGAGATTTTTTTCAGTGGAGGCAGAGTAGCCACCAGAAAACTGGTAGCACAAGTAGGTTGTGACAAATCACAGGGGGAGCCATTGCTGCGTTCTTAGAAATTACAGAAGTAAAGAAAGGGGTGCAGAGGAAGGAAGGGAGAGAGACAAGGAATAATGAAAACACAGCAAGGAGGAAGAAATAGCTAGAAAGATGTACCATATGAAGTAGAAAAGCAGAACTGCTGCTTTTTCCTAATAGTCACTTAATTGGTTTTGGCCATTTGTGTCTTAAATTTTTCTGCACATTTGGGGAGGAACCCAATTCATCTGTTGGTACTCATCTTGCTGCCATCAGGTTTAGTGTGCTGGGATGTCACCTTAAAGTGAAGAACTAAGGTAGGGAAGAACTAAGGTAGGGTTAAAAAAAGCAATTGACTTCTGCTGGTGCTCAGCTTCTTTGTAAACTTATGAATCCCACAAATTAAACTGACAAAAGATTAATAGGGTTACATTGATACACTCTGAACAACCTCCTCTGTGTGCTGCTTATAATCGTCTGTATGATAACTGAAATAAGAAAACCCATTTTCCTCCTGGTGACCTGTTTCTGCACATAGACAAATACGAACCAAATACCTCTTGGTTACAGGATGCTGACAGATACGGGATAATTACTGTAGCAACAACTTCTTATACGCTTGTGAGAGGACTCCAGAAACCTCAAGGGGTTCAGCAGGGCACGCAATAGGCGTCACAGCTGCCTTGATTTTATGGAAGCAGCCAGAGGGGAAAATTGCTACCAGTGCTGACTCCAGGCTGTGTCAGCTGCTGTTAATTGCCTCACTCCCAGACAGATGCCTGACTGCAACTGAGCTTCCTGATTAAAGTATTTTGCTGGCCTACCTTCTAAATAGTGGTGTTGATCTGCCTTCAGTCCTGAAGTGCTGATGCTTGTGGTGTGGACTTGTTCCATCCTACACTGTTGCTACTGTATGCAAGAGGTATGTCTCCTGTGCACGTGTGGCCCTCAGGGTGGAGAAATGGAAGAGGTTTTGGGATTTCTGGATTGTTTTCTATAAAACTAGATTTATTTTTTTTTTTTGTCTTTTAAGCATAGTTTAGTCATTTTCATAGTAGTTCAAGGAAGCATAATGTGAATATGCCTCCAGAAGCTGAAGTTCATGACTAGGTGGTATTCTTGATCTAAAGCATCTATACCTTGGATTAAGACAGAGACAGCAGGAAAAAGTTTTTGCAAGTTAAGGCAAGAAACTTAAGATGTGTCTCTTGTGCAAGCTAAAAGTACCTCGGCTCTACCCATAGGCTCAGCTTTGCTGCCCATGGGGCATGTGAGCTTCTATAAGATGTTGTATCCTGAGCACAAGGAAGACAGGAGTATGGGCAGATGACCAGGAAGCAAAGGCAGGGAAAGTTCTGTACTGAGCCTGTTTCTGAGCCTGGGGTTTTGTGGGGGTTTTTGTTGTTTTTTTTTTTTTTTTTCAAAAAAGGAGGATTTCCTGAAGCTTCTTATTGGATCAACCAAGATTATTTTCCTTCCCTAACAATATTCCTCCCTCTGTTTCCAAATGAAATTCTAAGCTATTTGATGGACCTAATTTAGGCTTTACAAATGCATGGGGCTGAATGTAACTATCAGTCCATTAGGCATTTTAATGAGCAGCTGGAGCATCCCAAGAACAGTAGAGGTGAGAAGAAAACTGCTCAATAAGCTGCTACCAAAATAATACTAATGAAGCTGTTTCATGGTAGAAGAGCAGGGAAGGCAGAAACAAAAGCACATATACCAGTATCTGAGAAATATTATTATATTTTCATGGATATAGCTTACTATTCAGATAATCTGTGATAATTTAAAAGTTTTTAGTGAGTCCTCATGAAATATGATCTCTCATACAAAGCTAGCAAAGTGAGAGATCAAAGCAGCAGGGATTCATAAACTGGGGATAGTTATTTTGTTAGAGGAAAGAAACTTCTCTTTACCCATACTTTGATGTAACCAGCATGGCTGCATGAACTTCAAAGGGATTGCTTGTGCACATGAAAAGTACTATATTAATAATACTACTCTGTATGTCTTCAATGCACACTGGTTTAAGATAGTGTCCTGGGTTCATCATTGTTGCTTTCAGTGGGGTTATCACTGTAGGAAAGAAAGACCAATTTTCATATTTATCTCACGCACGCTCTTCCCTGGCCTTAGAATGAGCTTCTCAAACACATATACTAATACAAAAGGGGTGGCACATGTGAATTTAATTCCTCCTACCTAAGAGAAACTTAAGATGAGTTTTCTAAAGCAGTTAGGAACAAGTATAGGCAAAGAGCTTCAGTGAATAGTAATAAAATGGATCCTTCTTCTATTTCCTATTCCCATTTCATTAAGTCAGAATTGTTTAGGGCTTTGCTGTATGATTGATGGATCCTGACTGACAGGCAGCAGCAAATTTATCAGTCCCCACAGTAACATTTTACTTCATGAGGAGAAATGAAGGGTCTATTACTACTGTAATATGGGATGAGTGATTCCAGATCATTTTGAAATAACTTCCATTTTGCTGAAAGTTCAAAGCATAACAATGAGAGGTATTTTGACACTTGAAAAATGTGTTTGTTTAGTCATAGTCAATATGCTGTTCTGCCTACCCATTTTCTTCTTGTGTTTTCAATTCTTCCCTCATGGACTCTGGATCAGCCCACAGGGATTAAAACAAAGGCTCCAGCTGATTGTGATGAACTTATGCTGATAGATTTCCCGCCCCGATTCTGCTATGGCTAAAGTACATTAATAAATACTTGTAGAAATGTGACTTTATTGTGTTCATTTTTGCTGTGGGTTTAGAGCTGCCTATCCTTGGCTATGTGTGTAATGCGTGTTAGGGAAAACAGTTCTTTCAGATGTTCCCTACAGAGTTCCACTTAGGCTGGGACCAAGAACACTGCACAAGGAAATCAAAAGCTTTATTTTCATGAGGTTATTTTTGTAGAAGAATACCATTGGCTATCTTGCCTTGTGAATTACTTGGGGTCTTTTTGCTTGGGAGTAGATCACTGTCTACTGTTCTGTTAACACTCACACACATGAAGACTCTTCAGCAGCTCTTGGGCATTTATTTCATCTACTGAGTCTTCCTCAGCACTATCTTTCATTCTGCCTCTGGCTAAAACACAGGTTCTTATGAGCTCTCCCTTCCCCCACATTCCTATACCACCTGCCCTGTTGCTGCAGCTTCTGCTGTCCAAAATGATCTTTCCATCAGTTGCATGAATGATGTGCTGGAGATGCTCTGATATAGGAATGATGGAAGAACCTTTTAATTGCCAGATAAGCATCCTGCTGCTGGATGAGGGCTTTTTTTACAGAGCTCGCGCTGCTTTTCAGGCAATGAGAGCTGTGGTGTGATAAGTGGTAGGTATAAAGGATGGGAACCAAGTCTTTCCCCTTTTTTATCTTAGCTTTATCTTGGTTTGCAGCCAATTAGGTATCGATTTTACCCAAGACAGAATTAGAAATTACTAAGGGTGGTTTGAATAAAACTGTGTTTTAGTAGGAGTTGTTTGGGTTTATGTGTAAGTAATGTAACAACAGAATCAAGTGGGATGAGAAATCAGAATATCTGTTGTGACAGAATTTTTAATTCTTCTACAATTACTTCCTTATCTCAGACAAAACCAAAACAAATGCAAAAAAAAAACTCCAGACAAAACCTTGGACTGTCAAAATATCCAATAATAGGTAGATGCCTTCAGGGAATTATAGTTCAACTTCATACTTGCCCGTGCCCCTATAAACTAAATCTCTGGGTTGGGTTACATTACACTGTATGGCTTCCCCTGGCTGAGCCACTGCTGTTCCTGCACTGGTGCATGGGGGTTGCAGCCTGGTAAAGGAGCTTAATTTACCTGGGTGAAGGACACCATTTTTCATCAAAGAAACAATTTTTAGAGGAATCAAGATGCAGAGGCTTAGGCATGGAGATCTGGCCTCAAATGAGACATGAAAATTGGCAAAATTAATGGCTTCTAATGGTGCAGAAACTGTATTTTGCACTAAGAAAATGCCTTAATGGGAAATTGTCCAAGCTACAAAATTGGCTATTTTTTGTTTAATAAATCACATAGAAATCCCTCGGTTTTGCCTTGGTCATCACTGAGAGAGAAGGGAGTGAAGGTGAAAAGGAAGGCAAGTTTTCTATGGTTTTGGTTAACCTACTTGTAGTGCTCTCATATTGGCCTAAAGTCAACATACACAGAAGTTTTATAAAGCCCTGGGTGATCTTGAGTAAGTTTTTTCCCTAAAGGGATAAAGTTATGTCTGAAGCAGGGCCATAGATAAAGTACTCTGCACACAACAATCAAGACAGTTGAACACTGCAAACAAGACAGAAACAAGAAATAACACCTAATGCATTAAAGCTTTTGTTTTCTACTAACATCCAGTGAACTTCTTAGAAGGTGTTTCCCAGATGAAATAAACAGTCCCAAGCATGATTACCAAAGAGTTACAATTTGAATAATTGGTGGTTTATTTAATTTTTATATATATATAATTTCACAAAACTGAAAGTTATTATAAGGGGAAAAATAGAAGAGGAGAGCATTGAAGCCAATATATTATTCATTGGAGTGCTGCTTTTGCCGCCACATGCGTATGCCACAAGAGTGACCCACTGCCTATAAAGCAAGGGAATGCAACTAATGAAAGATAGGACCTTCGCAGGACTGCTTTTGCTATGACTACACATTAGTGATGACAACTGGGAATATTCTTGGTCACAGGCATTTGCATAAGATCTACAGCACTGCCTACTTTTGAGCATGAGATTTATGTATAGCAAGCGGTAGTACTTACGATGTTTGCAATTTGTTTAGATTTGATATCATCAAGGTAGGACAGAACTGAGTCATTCCAGTTGCAAGAGATCTGTAACAATCATCTAAGTCCAATTGCCTGACCATTTCAGGGTTGATGTAAAATTCAAGTGTATTATCAAGGGCATTGTCCAAATGCTTCTTAAACAATGACAGACAGGCATGAGGCATCAACCGTCTCTCTAGGAAGCCTGTTCTAATGTATGACCGCCCTCTCAGTAAAGAAATGTTTCCTAATATCTAGTCTGATACTCTTCTCATACAGCTTTGAACCATTCTCACACATCCTATCACTGAATACCAGGTAGAAGAGATCAGCCAAGATGAAGAGCCTAGGTAACTGGAAGAAATTAAAAGAAATAAACTAGCTCAGTGAAGCACTATGGAGACAGAAGGTGAACTGTTTGCAGTGTCCCAGTACGAAACTACCAAAGAAGAAGGGCTCTTTGATAAATCAGGAGTAAAGGTTTATCAACTGACTACAAATAAACTTGGTTTGAAAGCAGTTGCTATACCAAACATTAGAGGAACAAATCTCTGCAACAGCTTGTACTTCAAAAGACAAGGAACCTCAGATTTGTTTTCCTTTGGACTCTGTCAGATTTCTGAATTGCATTAAATAGTGCCGTTTATAACAAAAAGGGATTTATTATAATGAATTACAGGCCCAGAATAGTTTTATTTTGTGTTTTCCATGCTGTGGCAACCATTATTTCCTTGAGTACAACAGCTTTTTTGCCCTGAAGGAAGAAGGACCTCATGATTACATCATAAAATGAAGTTCGGTGGATTTGAATTAGACTTGCCATGTACAAGTTTTAAGCAATAATCTAGCCTTTGATCCTCAAATTTCTCCTGCTGTGAAATTAGGATGATGATAATTGTCTGCTTTACAAGGATACTGAGGATTAAATCGATTAACAGTATTCGTTTAGAGGAGGCTACATAAATGCCAAAAACTATTCTATGACTAGGAAACGCTGTTTTGTTTTTCTCTTAATCCACCTAAACTGAAATGATTGTTGCTTAAATTGTTATCTGGATACATGACTGCAAAGATATACATGATAGACACAGCAAAACTCTAGGAAGTAATGTCAGCTGACAAAAAATATAGAAAACCATCCTGGTCTAGATCAAATTGTAGTATTACGCCTCTGCAACGTCACTAGAGATTATTCAGTGATTGAACAGGAGAGGAAAATGAGAGCTTCTGTTACCTCCAGGGTTACACTTACTTTTTCAATCTTTTTCATCTGTTGAATTTGATTGTCCTCATAAAGCAGATAAATCTGTTGTTTATAGAATCTGCTGCATTGCACTAGAGATTCTGTTCTCTTCAGCTGACCTATGCCTGCATTCAGCTTTCAAGCGGTAAATTGCTGCAAATACATAGTTGAAGTCCTACCTGTAAAATGCAGACATATTACAGAAAAGCAGAAGCATTATAACTAAAATGGGGAATTCTGAGACTAAATTAATAGTTGGCCTTAGCCAGACCAAGCCGTTGGCTAAAATTCAGTCTGATCCCTTATGCAGCATTGCAAATGAGAAATCTACAACAGAACAGATCTCATAACATCTATTCACTGTGGCTTGGTGATGCTATCTTGACAAAAAGCACAAGTTCAGTCTACCTGTAGATTCTGTCAGCCTTTGTAGGACCTTAACTATCCACACCAAATGTAGAAATCAGTTCAGAAAAAGATACCAAAATGCCAAGAGCTTTCACCCAACTTTTAGATCACACTGAAGTAATAGCAAGTGAGACACAGCACAGTCATTGACACCTTATCCTTTTTTTTCCTGAATTTCTCTTGGCAGTGACTGAGCTCTTTATCATCCAGACTGTCCCTTGAGGACAGATGTACATGTGAAGACAGCAAAGAAATATGGCTTTGGTTGAGTTTCTGCTGGTGTATACAAACAAGATACCAAGAGATCTTGCTCCTAAGGATCCTAACACCTTTTATTTTAGATGTGAATATACTATATATTCCTTGCTTCTGTAGAAAGCTCTGAATACTGGAAACTTCCATTTATCTCTCAATTTACCCTGCAGGTTTAATGTTACAGGTGGAACTATGTGAGAAGTAGATGATTGTAAATGGTGTCCTGAAGCTCCCAGCACAACTATAGGCTGGTCCCAACAGGCAAGTGAAAGCAATTTTACTGAACCAGTTTTCCCTCTACTGGAGAAAAGTTGAGATGTGAAACCCTACAAATTCTTTGAATCCTTAAATAGTTTGTTGTTTTATTGCCTTTTGGAGAGCGGCAATTATTTAGAAGTCAAATCTTTTCCTACAGATATTTCCCTTCTAGCTCTCAGGCAGCAATGTTAATCTCCTGTCACTCAGTCACTGTAGTTAACTCTGGTTTCCCTGTATCTGTCAGGGTTAGTGTGACTATGACCCTTCCTATTGACCAGCATCACCTGCAAGGTTGTCGGGAAACAGCTGAGGCAATGGTCTGTTTTTCCTAAGCTAATCTCAATGAAAATGTGCTAGGGTGGATGTGACCTCTTAAGATTCAACTATATTTTTGTTTTGAAAGTTGACTCGATTAAATACATCAAAATACTCAGCTGCATCACGCCTAGGGGCTTATTCTAAATTACACTGAAAACTTAAACCTCTGAAGAAACAGGTTGTCATCCAGGTTTTCAGAACATGTGGAAGAGACAACAAAAGACCTAGTAAGTATGTTATATGACAAGATTACTTCCTATATTACAGAATGATAGAATGGGTTGGAAGGGACTCACAAGAGTGGAGTGGAAGGGGAGAATCACCTCCCTCAACCTGTTGGCCATAGTTTTTGTTATACAGCCCAGGATACAGTTGGCTTTCTGGGCTGCAAGCACACACTGCTGGCTCATGTGGAGCTTTTCATTCACCAGTACCCCCAAGTCCTTTCTCTGCAGGGCTGTTCTCAGTCTATTTTTTTCCTCATTCTATGTTGAGCTGGATGATTGCCCCAACCCAGGTGCAGGACCTTGCGCTTGGTCTTGTTGAACTTTGTATCATTCACACAGGCCCACTCCTCAAGCATGTGAAGGTCCCTCCAGATGGCATTACTTCCCTCAAGCATATCAATGGCATCATTCAGTTTGGTCTCATCTGACAGTACACTCAATCCTGCTGTGTTTTTTATGAAAATATCAAACAGTATTGGTCCCAGTACTGACCCTTGAGGGATCATCCTTCTCTCTTTCTGCACTGCTTGTCACTTCAAATTTGACCTCATCTTCACTCTCTTTGGAGCCTTCTCTTTTCTCCTCATTTCAGAAATGCCTGCTTTATTTTGCAGGGTGGATATGGACTATGAAAGGATCCCATTGTCTTTGCTACAAACATAGCTCATTGCATGTTTCACCCTACCCGTTCATTTCTCCTGTCTAATGCGGAGGTCTCTTCCAACTTCTGTGAAGCCCTATGTTTCCCCAGTGCTACTACAAGGGCAATTTAGGAAGAGACATCAACATATTAGATGCCGTTTAAAATCATATATGAAGAGATACTGCTGTCCTTCACTTTCTGTGACTTCCAGAAGGAAAGAACTTTTAAATGGATGTCATTTCCACTGCTGCATTCCTTAGCCATAGTCATTATATAGTCTAAAAAATATGTGCTTATCCTGTGTTTGTGTTCATTCATGTGTACTGGTTTCCAATTTTATTTAATATTTTGCTTGCTTGAAAAGTGGTCTGGCTGCCTGTTTCCTACTTTTTCCCTGGGTCTAAAGAAGCAAGTTCTAAATACTTCTGTAATGTTAAAGCCAGTTCAGTCCCCTGACAGCATCCACGTGGCAGGCAGGCCAAGGCTAAGCTCATGTCAACATACTCGGACAGGCTGCACCAAGGATGTAGCCTGGGGCATCATGCAGGCTGGCTGGGGCTGCTTGGGACCCTAGTTAAATGTCCAGGTTATTTACCTGAATCAATCTTTCTGTTGTGAGCCACAAGAGAAATTCCTGCAGTAATTCTGAACTCACTCTATGAAACACAGTTATACCTTCTGACAGCAGTAAAAGTGCCCTTGAGACCTTTCTTCTCCTTGCCCCTCAACTTTAAAAAGTCATAACACTGCATGCTGGGGAAAAAAAAAGTCAAAACATTTCTGAACTGTATTACAGTAGTGTACTTAGTGTAGAGTATTCTGCACTAAGAGATTATTTTGGCTTAGCCCATTTTCAACTTAAGAACTTGGGTGTGCAATTCAATTTAGACAAAAAATCTTTCCATTTCCAGATGACTGAGAAGGTAATGCATCACTTCTTTATGTTGACTATTATTTACTCAAAGTCAGTCTAGCTACCAGTGAAAAGATGAAAAAACAGATCATAAGTATTGACATCTACATACACTCAATGAAAAATTATAACAACTTTTGATAATAAATCTGATTGTAAACCTACGAACCTCTAGAAGGTCATGAACTAAACTAACAAGGTCTCTTTTCAGAACTTAATAGGCGCGTTCCAATTTGGTCATTAAAACGAGGCTTGACACAATTTTCCCTGCATTGAATACTATCTTTCAAGATCTGTAGTTTTATGTCCTCATTAGGACATTTTAAGTCCTCATCTTTGTCGATGACATGGTGTTGACGCGGGAGTCACGGACAACGCAGAGACGATCAATGTGATCAAGCGATTGCCAAATTTATTCACACACATCAACAGTTTTTATAGTTTATAAGACTAACTGATGTAACCAATATAGATTCTGATTGGCCCAAAAGCGCTGTCCACACATTTTCAAAGCAGATAGCAGGCTAGCTGAAAATTTGTTCATTTGTTACTTATTGCACACATCTTACAGTTTCCCCATCCTGCTTCTACATCTTGTTAACCTTGAGCAAACGCCAAGTTCCTTGTTCTACTGCACGTAGCTGTCCTTTAGTAACCTAAGGTTACGCCTTGCAGCCTGGGTAACTTGAGTTCAGGCCTTACAACTTAACTCAGAGTTTGGCTAAGACCAAACAGCTGGGATGGCTCACATATTCATTGTTTAACTGTATTCTTCATAACTGTCATCTCCTAAGGTGAAGACATCTGGGTTGGTCACGAAATGTCTGCCGTTCCTTAGCCAATCCACAACCTGGACAGTGGGATTGAGTGCACCCTCAGCAAGTTTGCCGATGACACCAAGCTGTGTGGTTCGGTTGATACCCTGGAGGGAAGGAATGCCATCCAGAGGGACCTTGACATGCTTGTGAGGTGGGCTGACGCCAACCTTATGAAGTTTAACCATGCCAAGAGCAAGGTCCTACACCTGGGTCGGAGCAATCCAGGCACAGCTAAAGGTTGGGCAGAGAAGACATTCAGAGCAGCCCTGCAGAGAAGGACTTGGGGGTGTTGGCTGATAAGACAATGAACATGAGCCAGCTTCAGTGTGCACTCACAGCCCAGAAAGCCAATCATATCCTGGGCTGCATCAAAAGGAGCGTGACCAGCAGGTCAAAGGAGGTGATCCTGCCCCTCTACTCTCGTGAGACCTCACTGTGTGCAGTTCTGGTGTCCTCAACATAAAAAGGACATGGAACTGTTGGAACAAGTCCAGAGGAGGGCCACGAGGATGATCAGGAGACTGGAGCACCTCCCGTGTGAAGATAGCCTGAGAAAGTTGGGGCTGTTCATCCTGGAGAAGAGAAGGCTGTGTGGAGACCTCATAGCAG